CTCCCTCTATCGAGGATTGCTTATAAGCAAACTCGTCGTGGTCAGATTTTTGTAAAAAAACGGAAAAAAGAATTCAATAACCGTATCGCATTTTCAATTGCAGTGGTGATATCAAGAGCTTTGCTTGGTTTTTCAGGCGAAGAGCCGGATACACTAGTTGTGGCAAATGATCGTGGTACCGCATCACTGATCCATTTGATTGGAAGCCAAACATCGTGACTGCTAGCCAAAAGGTAATAAAGAGCGGTCAAGAAAACTATCTATAATACAGAATGGCTGGAAGCAGTACTGTTTGCAGTTAAAGAAATATAAACGAAAAATGTGAAACACAACTTTCTTCGCTGGAAATTAAAAATTTAAAGATGGCTGGTCGGGCTGATACCCACCCGAACACGGAGATAAATGTTTGTTATGGGTGTTTAGTGTGGTAACGCAAACGAACTCGGAGATATTGAGCAAAACTCGAGCCAGAGTTCCTCTTCTCTCCTACCCTTTGTCGTTAATAAGGCAAAATACGCAAAAATGTCTGCAGGAGAGAGAAACAAATTCGCAGCTTGGACACCTTCTTTACCTAAGCAAAAGCAGAAACGCTAAAACCAAAAAATCTACGAGCCAAAACTTCCGTCTGCCCACGAAATTTCGATTCTCATTCTGGAAGCGCTTTTGAAAAATGCAAATCAAAAATTAAACTTACAATTTCGATAAAGAAATTGACAATTTCCAGGCCAAAATTTATTACAATTGTTAGTGCTGCAAACAGAATAGTACTCAAAATCGATATGTTTGCTGCGATAACTGACCAAACTGATTGCGCAACCTTAAAATGTAAAATCATGATATTCAGACTGTGTGAAAAATACAAAATGAGTGACAGTGAAGATAAACGATCAAAAGAAAGCTAAATCTATCAAAGGTACGAATTTTGTGTAGGACTTTTAACTACGTCAGAATTTGTTTCCCCTCTGCGCTCAAATCTGATAAGATTATTTTTCGATAGCACAAAAAGCCTTTTTTTATAAAAATAACGGTTTAATTCATGAAAATATATATTTAAAACGTGCATTAATAATGAATATATTGGATTTTTTGATGAAAGTTTATCAAAAACAACTTCCAGAAAACGAGTTTTCGCAAAAAGTTCTTTGAATATACTTACACTCATGATCGTATCAACATTCGCTTTCACCAATTCCACTGCCTCCTGCTTCAGTGTGCTTATGCTTGTAAGTCCTTTCAAATGACCCATCCAGTCCTTTTCGCTGACACTGCCTGCTACTGATGATGTTGATAATCCCGCTTTATCACGGTCTTCCCACATTTGATAGAGCTTGTCAACCAACTGAAACAACAGATCATTCAAGCTCACAAACCTTACCTCATTTCACGCTCAATAAACATGACTTTTCAACATGTTACACGGTTTGAACCACAATAACAGCCCTACTATCTTTCCCATCATAATGTATTAAAATTTATGGATTATGGCCGATGCGTACTACTTATGCTTAAGTGAAACTGAGGGCAAATAAGTCCGATTGGGTCACAGAAGAATTGCAGACATTTTCACAATGTTGCCACTTGCAGCCGGCAACTGTACACAACAGTTATACCTTTGTTTTTTGTCTTCAAAATCTCACAGGAGCAAAGGCCGACTTCATCCCCAGGCATCCATTCTATCCTGTTTTTGCCCACTTCATGGAACTTATTCGCTCTCAGCTTCACCTAAGCATCAGTTTCATAAATTGGAAAGTCTGATGACGGGTTTTTCTGGAACAACTTTACATATTTCCCACTGCCCGGACCGGTGTTTACTTCAGAAATTATGGTTCGGCCTACCAAGGGCCGCAAATTATTTATCAATTTAACCCACTCCGGCTGCTCCACTTGGACCGTCCGCTTATGATTCAGCCTTCTAATGGTCGTTACTTATCATTTTATTCTCTACGACAAGCACAGGGATACATTTTTTTAATAACCCCGAACAGAGATAAATTAGTCACTGGAAACGAAGGCACTCAAAAGTAGCCACGGCGCTGGCACCGCGCCAAAAGCAAATACCTCCTCCCTTTTTCCCCTCTCCTTCTCGCAAGCAGATAACGGTGAGTGGCTATTTCAAGAACTGAGTGGAAAGAATATTAAACACGCGATGATCTATGGATGCTGAGGCAGACTAATGCCATGCTGTTAAACTGAGGGCCTGGGAGGTCTCGCTCGTTGGCACGGTGCACCGGCGTCTCCTCAGATTATTGGCCCAGTCGTCGATTTCATGGTGATGGCTATTAGAAGGCCGGATCATAAGTGGATGGATCAAATGGAGTGGCCGAAATGGGCTAGAAGGGTCCTTGTTCTTCACTGGTCGTCAGGACCGCCAGCATAACACATTACGTACAACACTGCACAACACAAAAACAATGGACCCTATATAAGCAGTTTCGTGCCATTATACACGCCCTACCTAGGAGGAAGTCATGATGCAACAATGTTACCTTTGAAAAGAATCGTCGGATGAGGTCAAACTAATGATATTGCGAAGAGATAACAAACCTCAGTAAGTTCTTTTTCAAGCAGCGCGGCCTTAGCAGGATCTTTGGCACCAACAAATGACCGTACATTTGTTGCTAACCATTCACGTCCTTTTAAATAACCCTGAAATCGTGATTTTTTAATTAAAATTCCAAAATAATGAAATTCAAAATCCTCAGTCTGAGTTTTACGAGTAAGAAGGGCAATACGGGCCATAAAGGCCTTATGACGATCATTATCAACAAAAAGCTATAAACAGCCCATCCAGAGAACCGCAAACACCGACCAATACAGTCAGGGGCGAAATAGGAAAAGCAGTACGAGTACCTCGCACATCCATTAAACAACTAATTTGAACCATATATGTGGATTTTTCTGGTTCTCTCTCCCACCTCAAATTCTTTGGAGAAAAGGAAAATCATTCGTTTACGATTTGAAAAATCAAGAAAATACACTAAGAAAATAATCACACCTGTTCCACGTAACTGTCAATATCGGCCTCCTCGAGCTGATCCTCCGTATAATTTCGGGCATATTTGATCCAGTCCGGTTGTTGTGATAAGAGATTAACGCCCAATCTGGTGAGATGGACAACTTCACTGTGCACTTGAAAGCTGACAACAAAAAGGGTGAAAAGAGAGCCAAGAACGAGGAAGAGCATAACGAGGACGGTCGAAAAATCGTCCAACACATTTCGTAATGAATTTTTCATCTGTAACAAAGTTTTATAAAATACAAAAAAAAAAAAACCAAAAATGTTAAAATCTTGGAAAACTTTGATTTGATAAGCTAAAAAGCCTGGTATGAAATGATCGAAAATGCTGAATTTAGAACAAATCCGCTGAACCTGTATATCTTGGAATCCGCTGAACCTACATATCTGTATCAAGTATAAGCCTACGCGAACGTCTAAACATATAAATCCCTACCATTTGTTCACTTGAAAATATGAATTTGAAGTAATTTCTGAGTGGGCCAGCCACAGCAACATGTGAGAATTGTCGCATTTTCTCGTAAAATGACTGCCAAACATAATGGATTTTATCGGTAAGGCCAGTTTGTGCGCCAATTGCAATGCCTGCAAACTGGTAACTGATAAGTTGATTGAATCAAAAATGCTTCAAATTGTTTTTTTCTTTTTTTTTTTTGAAGAAATTCTTTTAGCTAGAAGCATCTGCCGAAAAAACCGGTGCCGTTAGCGACAAAAATCTGTGGGAAACTATGCAGAAAACGCATTTTCGCACAAGGAACCCGTGCGTTGGCCAATTATTTATAATTGAACAGGACTGCTGTAGCAGAAGGTGCAACATGTGATGATTCCCGTGTTGACGATGATTATTGACCTTCCAGCTTTCTTTCTTCCTTTTATAAAAAAAAAAATCTAAAAACAAGTCCTCCAGCCTTTCTTTAAAGTCTCCTGAGAGCATAGAAATATTCCAGGTATTTATTCAGAGGACAACCAGTGTCTAAAAGAAAATCTCTAAAAATTATTTTAATAATTAATGTTAAAGTCGAAATCCTACATAATCCGCATATCTTATGCGCCAAAATCCTACTTTTATGATGCATTTTATAAAATATTAAACTTTCTTCGTCGGTTCTGTTGTACAGCCCTTTCTTCATTAGCATCAATAACAAAGTAACAAGTACAAAGGCTTCCAACAGACCACAGAACTAAACAACAACTTTTCAAGTTTCGACAAATGTCCCCAAACACTTACCAAT